TGATTTCAGAATCTTCGTCGGCTGCCGTCGTCTAATTTCGAAATACCATAATATTATGATGAACCATTACCATGGTCACACGTACGCGTATAACAACGGACGGGCTCGTTACGATTCGTTCGTGAATCGCCCGCAACTCGGTCGTCGACGACGAAGACTCTACAGCGACCAAGTTCGGCGAATGTACAGCCCTATGCAGTATTAATCAGTAAATATAACATAATGCCGGAGCAGAACGTGAAAATATCTATCTGACGAAGTCAACCCGATTTAAAGCAGGATGTTTCCTTATATATTACCTATGTCCGAATTAGAAGATACGTCACGTTTATCATCATCACACCCCAAAAAGCGAACACATTTTTATATAATTTCCCCAATAAAAAATACAAAATATTCAACCACTACAACTCTAGTCTTAAAAACTGAAGTTGATTTTACTAATGTTATGAATGTATAGGATATAGGATTCTATATAAACCGTACATTATCACAAAATGAAATATCCGAGAGGTATAATGAATATCATAATATAATATAATATAATAATAGTATAACAATCTATGGGTGCCGGGCATAAATTACAAATTTCCAATAAATATTTATGTGAAAAAAAAAATAAGCAGCTAAATTTAAAATTTCAATATTTGTGACTTCTGAAATATCCATGGCTATATTATTCTGAAAAAGAATGTAGTGCCTTTTGTAAATTTCTTGTAGCATTCTTGAAGTCGGTATCAAGGACGTAGTTAATTTATCTCTAAATTGTTAAATATTAAATAATAATTAATTTATTCGCTTAAAACTTGCACATTTAGTATGTAATCTATTAATCATTTTAACAAATAAATAAGAGCATATCGACCAATGTTCCTATTTTAACAAAAATAGAACAAAATTAATATAGTCCAAAAAAATGTTTCTATTTGCAAGATTATAACAGAAAGTTATGAAATTAATTAAATGTAAATAAAATTAATATCAAACAAATAAGCACGTATTTTGTTATTACGTTTGTTGTATTATGTTAAATAAATATAATTAAATATGTTTGATAACATTACTTTTATAGTATCGTTATTATTTAATATGGTAATCAGCTTAATTATCATTTGACTAACGAATAGTATTGTGGTATTTATCGTCGAGTTTTAAACGTAAACATTCAATAAACTAATAAAGATCGATAACTATCGACCGGTACCAATTCTATAGTTATCTTTTAATGGGTAGATACATTGTTCCTGACAGTAAACTATACTAATTGACATATTTTATTTTTGTAAATTCAATTATACGAAAAACAAAATTCATTTTGATTTACTCACATTAAAAAATTAATAAATTAAAATTAAAAACAATTAAAATTAATTTTTATTGTTTATTATCGACGTGATTGACAAGAGAATGTTCAATGTTGGTAGTGCTACAATGATCAAGAGAGGACTTATACAACAGATCAACATTTAGAATTTTTTTAATATCAGTTAATAAGTGTGTAATTGAATACATTTAAAATACTATTATCCGTTTGTTGATTGTTGGCCAGAATTAAAAACTTATAGTATTGATTTATGTTTGTTATTATAGGTACGTAGGTGTACATTTTTATTTCCATAGAAACGAAATAGTGTTTTTTATTTATCGCTAGTTCATTCTTAGCATTCGACGTTTACCTAAACATCGATTTTTTTTTCTGCTCCTATAAATATATTATAATTAATGCCATCATTTGTATTCAACTTCATCTTCGTTCCAAGACGGTATCAGTGTTATGAGATTGATATCCAATATCTTACAATATTAGTATGTACTTTTTTTTTCTTGTGTTTGAACCGACGCCAATAGGGGAAAGGGTTGTCCCAGTACTTCCCCATTGGCGACATCGTTTATTGTTTTAATTTAATAAGTTACAATATAATGATAACAATAATTTATCGATAAAATAGTAGTTGGTTATCATTTCCTGTGCAGCATTTTTCACGGACCGGCGTACGCCCATCGGCCTAGAATCTCATTAATGGTATGAAATCTTCCCGACTCTTTATCAATGACCAGCCGGTCTGGAGAATGGTTCCGGTCAGCCGTGATTATCGTCCTTCCCTGATGCCATGGATTCAATATGGTTTTTCCCTATACCCGTCACTCTGGAGCCGGTGGTTTAGGGAGTGAGGCCACTTGATCTTGAAATTTCCGTCACCATATCCGCGTAGGTGCTGCCGGTGGTTATATTAAATTCCTGTGGCGTGAGCTGCTATCAGGCGCGTCCCCAGGTTGCGGATAGGGGAACGCCCTGCAGATATGCAGGGTAGCCGTGAAATAAGCCAATCCTTCGGGATTGGGCGAATAAGCGGTCGCGGACAAGCTTCACCGGGGCCAACCCCCCGGTGCTACATCGAACCGGCTCTTACTTTAACTAGTCGGGGTCGGAAAAGTAGGCACCACTTGTGAGCACTTCACAAACGGGCCCAGAAGGATACTGTAAACCACCGCAGTCCCGGTTCTTACCTTGGTTGGTTGGATCCGGCAGGACTGGGCATCTCCCGCTTGCAAACAGCAAATTGGCCCCCACTCAACCCCTCATGACCGTAAATGGGGCTTACTTGGCAGAGAGTGGCCGGGACTGGTTTTAATTAATTGGTCCCGGAAGTCGTCTGTCCTACGGTCCCAACGTGGCGAATGCCTTACCGCGCCAATCGGGGCTCTGGTGCGGTGGACCCCCTCTTCCCTTGACTCTCGTGGGAACTTTATGGATACATTAAAGAAAACACTAAACAGCAGTCCTCTAACTGTCCAAATAGAGGAAACCGGTAGTTCGGCCGGCCAATCGAGCAATGCTTCATCAGCAACAAATCCGGCGTTCCAATGCACCTCGATGTTTGTTGGGAAGAAAAGGAAGCGCCAAACGTCTCTCTCAACTCTTAATACAAACCCCAACGACCCGACAGAATCTACACTTTTGTTTTTAAGGAGTACCCTAAGAACCGCTTTGTGTGAAGCGAAAAATGCACAGGCGTCCTGCTCCGCAACTTCACACCTTGTGGTACTTTTATCCACCATGAGCGAAGCACTTGACGATCTGCTGACTAAGAATGAGGAGATCAAGGGCCCTGTCACGAAGAAAGCCAGGAATACTGTCGTTTTCAGCTCCGAAGGCATACAAACCCCTCCCCCCGCTAGGAAGCCTACCATGGTCGATGCGTCCACGGATACCATGCTTACGCCTCGTTGGTGGACAGTGAGTTCACCTGACCGTCCTTTTATGTTCCCGGCAACAGAAAATCCGGTTGTCGGAAGTGGGTGGTATTCGATTTCGAAAAGAAATAAACAGTCAATACCTACAGGTGCATCAAAACGTCGTCGTCGATCACACTCATCCTCTCCACACCGGCCGGTCAAATATTTCATTCTACACGAGTCCAGTTATAATCAACTAACTAAACGTGCATCGCGGATTTCGAGCTTTTACAACAATAACGGGGAGAATTCGACGTGCACATTCAAGCGTAGTCGTTCGCCGTTTAGTTCCTCCCCTATCCGGCCGGTGAAGTATAGAATATACGAACATCAAAACGAGAGCCGGGTAATCGAAAACCGGGATTTTACGGTTTCGAAACGAAACATTTTTGAAGTAATATCAGTTATATCGACCCGTACATCCGCCATGAAGCGTCCTCGATCACAGTCGTGTTCTTCGGGCCGTCCTTTTAAATGCCCGAGGACGGAAAATTCGGCGGTCGAACGTTGGCGATCATCGATTTGTAATAGCTCCGAAAATCCTATCGGTCTTGCATCAAAGAAACGTAGTCGTTGTCGATCGAAGTCATACTCTCCCCACCGTCCGATCAAATATTTGATCATCGACGAGACTTGTAATAGTCGAGTAGTCCGACGAACATCTCGGAAACGGAATACTGCAAACTCGCTGACGATTTACGATGACGTAAACTCCACTAGTTTATCCACCCGTAAGCGTAGTCGTTCGTTTTCGTGTACCGATCATTGTCCCCCGGTCAAATATTTAATATTAAACGTGTATAACTGGGACATTGAGGATTACAAGGACGACTTCGAGGACTATACGGACCATGAAATTGTACCTACGACTTTAGATGTTGATGAGTACGAGCAATTCTTCATTTTATTTTTGGATGACATAGAAGATATCCTGATTAACACCGCATCCTGCTTTTGCATTTTGGGCTACGTAAATGCCAAATTACATAAATATTCATCGGAATTAATAGAATTCTCCGTGATGCAAATATTTTTGTTTTACACACAATAACCTATCATTTTTGTGTGATTTTTTCCTGACAGTAAAATATACCAATATATATATATATATATATATATATATTTTATGTATGTAAATTTAATTATGTATATGAAAGACAAAATTCATTTTAATTTACTTACAGTAGAAAATGATAATCATTATTGTTTATTGTCGACACGATTGACATGAGAATGTTTAATGTTGGTGGTGCTTCTATGATTAAGAAAACGTCTTATGCGACAGATCAACATTTAGATATTTTATGTATTTTTATGATTTTTAAAGCATTTTTTGCAGGTCCGTATCACCAGCACAACCACTTTTGAATAATAGTACCAAACATTTACAATATTTTGTACTTTTTTTTGTATAATTTTGTACAACCAATACAAAATTTTGTACACCTCCCCAAACCAGAGAATCCCCATTTTTCTATGGCTGTGCTGGAGATTAACCAATTATTATAAAATTGAAATTTAACTTATACAGTTTTATGTACTTATTTTTGTACGTTTTTGTACAATCATAATAAAATTCTATACATCCACCCAAACCTGAGAAAACCCGATTTTTCAGTCGATAATCGGTGTTGTTTAATTTTTATTGGATTATATAAGGTAAGCAAAATTTATGTATATCATAAGTTATTATTTTTCTTTTAATCTTATTATCTTCCTCATAAAGAGTATAATATATTATATATGATAATGATACAACCATCTATAAATTACTTTATATAGTTTATTACATTTATCTCATAAGGTCAGTGTTACAGACTAGAGAGTACCTTTTACCATTCTAATCTATTAAATAGTAAGTACCCAAATACAATTTATAATTGTTAACTTTAGTTATATATAAGATAGCAGTGATATAGGTACCTACCTTGTATAGGTACATACTTATCACATATTTATTTATAGTTTAAACAGGCATTACCCTTCTTACAATTTATAACAATTATTACATTATACTTATATGAGCTTATTATATTATTATACTAATACTATTTTGCATGTACATTCCTCAGCTTCATCAGTTTCATTTTCTACTGCCATCATTTCTTGCTGCTGTACAATATTTTGTTGTTGTTTTTGGATCACCATTTGTTGAAACAAGGTTGCCTTGCCCTCGTTTGTGTACTCAGTCATTTCCTAATAAACATTTTCGTAGTTAATATAGATATTTGAAATATTTTTAATTATAAAAAACTTACTCTTTCATATCTAGCTTTATCTTTTTCTGCTATAGCTTCATACTTCTGTTTCACAGTGATATCAGCATTATGCCATAACTTGGCTAAATGTTTGGCTTCATCACCTGGATTCATTCGATTCATATCATCAAATTTTTCACGTTCGTCGTTACAGAACCAAAAAAAAGCAGACCTAAATTGAATTGTATTTATATATTATAATTCAACTAATGTTTATTTATGATCTTAATGAAAAAATATTAACAAGGAACGTTTAGGCGCATTTGGATCCTTGATTGGCCTCTGTTTTTTAAAATACACGTTTTTACCCTTCAATGGAATATAGCTTTGCATGTTAGTGTTATACCTCATCTTGTCCTTATCAGCCATTTCATGAAATATTTTCTCTTCCTTTTCATTCATTGTCTAAAGAAAAAAATATTCAAAACAATTTATTTTTAAAACAATGAATAATCAAAAAAATAATAAGTTTATAAATTCAACAGTAAGTAAAAAAAAATAAACTATAACTGTTATAAAGCAAACATTATTTGAAAAATCAGTAAAAATTGCAGAACGCTGATCTAATTTAATTGCCAAAATAGATGTGAAGGAATTTATGATCTGAATTTGGTGGTGATAACAAAGCGCCCGCTTTATGTTGAATTTTCCCATGAATCTAAAAAGTTAAATAAAAAAAAAATTAATAAAATAAATTATTGTCATTATAATAATGAGACGCCATTACCATATAACTCAGATTGTAGCCGGGTTGATCAACTTCGATACCAAAAAACGTCATTTGATAGCGTCCGTTATATTTTTATGTAGGTACCTACTTTCCAGAAAATGTTTTGAATGGATTGCACGTTCCTCAAGCATTTGATCATCACGGTCATTCTCACTAATTATACTACTAACCAATGGACTACGAGGTGAATTTTATTATATAGGAATATTATTTATTTAAGCGTGTCTACACGATATCGTTGAAAATTCGTAATTTTCAAAATTTAATAACTCATAAACTAATGATTTTCGCCAAATTTTGTGTTCACCATTATTTTTAAAACATTGAATAGCTAGGTTTTCGAAAAAATATTTAAAAAAAAGGCTGTCTGGTAAAATAAGTTCCTAATTGATTATTATAAACACTTGAAAAAATTGATTATACTTTGTTTTGTTTTATTATTATAAATATCCTCATACACGCACCCCCTCTCAAACGACATACCTGGTAGTACCTACATATTTTGTAGGTACTATTGTAGTGTCATTAATGCATAAGACCGCCAGAACCCGCCGTGGTGTGTGTGAAGCCACTCAGGTCACCAAGGACTCTTCCCAGTTACCAATCGTCTAGTCAGCACGTAATTTAAGTTTAGTTGAAAGTATTCATCCGATTATATGTGAACCCTGTGCGTAATTGCACCAGACCGAACCGATCACACTTAATTTTTTTTTTTTTTGTTACCGGACGTGATCGTTCGGACAGTTTAACGAAAGCCTAACGAAAATATTCCACGATTCGTTATGTTACACCACCTCAAATAGGCCACAGGGTAACAATTTACATTTTAGGTTACCATTCGCCCCAATTAAAACATTTAAAATATTAGAAAAAAGTGCAAAAAATGTTTCTCACTGAGAACAGTTCGAGCACTAGACTACGACACCCACAGATATGTATAATAAACATTATTACAAACAAATTATTATACATATCCGTGGGTATAGCGTAAAATATATATATACGATAAACAATACTTATTGTTATTTGTATTGTTTATCTATCTCGATGGATATTAAGCACGGTTTCAGAAGATCTATCTTCTAAGACCGTGGTTTAAGATAAACTTAAAGTATATCTTAAACCGTGGTATTAGGTGTTAGATATACGGTTTACTAGTTCTCGAGTTTCGTGAAATTCATTTACCGTACAGCACGGACTGTATCAGCATTCCAAATTCTATGCGCATTCGAGCGTACATTTTGAGAAGCCCTACTGATTTTTTTCTCACCTTCGCGCTTCGATCGAGTCTATAATTTCGCGAAACGCCACTATATAGTACTCATAACCAATGGTATAATTATTACAACTAACTAACCCATAATAAGTTATTTGACGACACTAAATGTTTAAAATTTAAAGGAGCCATAAGTCAAAAACCAAGTTCGACCGTCCAGTTTTGATTGCGCCATCGTTCTCAGCGTAAAATACACTTCCGTTCAGAAAAAGAAAAAAATGTATTAAACTGCGTGGGCGCTAAACTAGATTTACGTCATACAAATACATTGTACGAAACGGTCCGTTAAGTCGTTAGGTTGGCTGCACATTAATTTAATATACACGCTTTTAATAAAACGTGTGTCAAATGTAGCCAACATAAACGGAACACTCACCGGCGGTGTACGCGCGTAATGTAGCTTCGATGTAGTTACGAACCGATGGCTTCTGCGGTGGTGCGCTGACGTCGGCCGGCTGCCCGTTGTCGATGATATCTGGGGTGCCGGCAACCGTGGTGACGGTAGTAACGTCGTCGGCGGCGGACCGGTTCATAATACTGGCGAACGTCTGCAGCAGCAACAACAGCAGAATGGCGACGACGAACACTAGCGACGCTGATGGCATGACTGTTAACTGCGTCGGGCGTGAAACTTTTGGTGGTGGGCGATTCGAATAAATATTTTAAAAGATCGATGTTTTTCACGCGATGAATCGATTTCGATGTGCCGATCTTTTAAAAGACAGATTAATTTTTGGTAAGATCGAATCGAATCGTTATCCTAGGGTTGCCATACATTTATCATGCGAAACCGAGACAAAACCAACACTTACAACTTTAGTCAATCATTTGTTTTTATACGCGTACGCTGTTAGGAGTAGATCAGTGGTTTTCAACATTTTTTAACAATGTGGCACACTTCATCTCCAACAAAATGTTCGCGGCACACCAATTCATATATTATGTGAACCATATTTTATATATATGCAGTAATCACTCGATAATTCGAAAAACTCCATAAATCGAACTAAACGCTTAGTCCTTTGAGAACACCTCTATAATTAGAAGAAAATACATGTATTCTAGTCCCCTCGATAATTCGAAATGTCTATTGGTGGGACTCACTCTACAATTCGAATGTTTTTTTCCAGAACCTCTATAATTCGAATTTGCTTTAACGCGGTTGTACGTATGTTCATGTGTATAAAGTATATTCATCTATTTGACGTACTCGCAATGAAATGAATAAGGATGGCAATTAAATATTATCGTAATTTATAAATTTTATCGTACTTTACCTACCTAATCTAGACTTAAATCGTATCATTTTACCAATTTTATGTCAGGATTATGAAAAATTTTCGAGCATTCTGAAATGTACGAAAAAGGATGCAATACAATTTCCAATGCTATCAGTAAGTTAGATAACGCTATGGACTAGATTGTGGCCAACAATTTAACACAAAAAAAAAGAACAGATTTCTTTAAAATGTAAAATATAATAATATAATGAATAAATGTAATTTAATAAATGTAAAATATAATACATAATATGTATAATTAATAAATTTCAATTAATAAATGTAATATATGCATATAATTTTTCACCTCTCTTTAATTCGATTTAATCTTTTTCCCTGGATTATTCGAACACTCGGTCAATCGAAAACCTCTATAAATCGAATTTTTAGCTTAGTCCCCTGAATTTCGAATTATCGAGTGACTACTGTATATATATATGTATACGTACACTGTTAACAGTCTTCTAGTAGCGGCTCCTAGTAAATATTTTGAAGAGACTTAAATTATTTAACATCAACTCCATACAAGGGCACACCCATATTGAGGAGCAAGAGAGGGACATGTCCCCCCCTGGAAAATGTCAAAAATCTGGGAAAATTTTTTACTATGATCAGAAAATATTTAAATAGAATTTAAAAATGTAATTTATTATATGAAAATCTATAATTTGTTTATGAAAAATCTATTTATTTAGTTTGGAAAATCAGGTTATTAGTTATAAATAACAATACGCTTTTTCGTTTCTATTCTATGGATAATTATCAATTCTTAAAATATAGTGTATTTCCAGAAATACGATATGTATATGTGTGTACACAACCGTAATATTTATATAATATTTGTAAATTAATATTTTAATAAATATAACTAATGTTTTAAGTGTCCAATTTATATTATTAATTAAATAAAAATTTCAATAAATTACTTTTAGGGTAAATTGGTTAAATAATTATTATTTTATAGTTTTGTTGTATATATATATATATAATGTACCTAATAGTATAATGTAAAATTATAAACCCCTTCCTATATCGTAGGTCATTCCTATTTATGAATTGATTGATAAATTAAAATGTTGTCCCCCCCCCTTGAGAATTTTCCTATGGGCGCCCTTGACTCAATACAATAACGAGCAAGAAAAACCCTTTTATTGAAAAATTAATTATACTTAATATTTAATTTAATATTTAGTTAATATTTTTAAATTAATTCAATTGTAAATTGTTTATAAACTAATTCAATTCTGCAATTTGTTTTTATCTGTGAATTCACCGTTGACGGTGTACAGCGACTAACGACGGCGCGATAATACGCGGATTATTTTCACCGGCCCCCTTCGTCCAACAAGCTAAACCATTACATGTTACGATTGAACCTAACCTGTTGGACGTCACTTTCATTCACTAAAATAGTGTTTCCATCGAAATAACTAATTATAGGTTTTATATTTTATGGCCTTTAATAATAATAATAATATATATATATGGAAAACGCTATAACATATCTTCAATAAAAATAAAAATATTTTTATACATCTTTAAATAGTAATTATTTACAAATAGCTGTTATTTTTTTTTAAGGGGAGACGCAGTCTCATAGTCTCCCTGGGCGAGCCGCCTCTGCAGTCTACTCTATAAAGGTCGATTCACACATATCAGTCACGAGACAGTGACGTATCCGATCAGAGATAGTCAAGTCACCGACGATTTTGACTGATCAGTCAAGTGTTTCACACATATCAGTCACCGAGACCGGTCAGTTTCGAGAAATCGGGACAGTCGTGTTGAGTCTATACCAAACACGCGTTTACACATCACGTATTTTTATATATATTTTTGTTATATTTTTTTTAAAACATTAAAATAATATTAAGCATTACAACGTAAATATGGCGAATTTCACTGATGAAGAATTATGTATTATTGCGATTATTTTGGACGAGGAAACCGAACAAGAAGAAAAGAATACTCCGAAGAGACAAAAGTGGGTGCATGAGGCATGGCAAAAAAGAGACAGTGAAGGAGAGTTTTTGACACTTTATAAGGAACTGATTGAAGATGGAACTAAATTTTATCAATATTTCAGAATATCTGAATATTGTTTTAATACGTTACTTGAGAAATTGTATGTATATTTAAAGAAAAAAAAGATACACATTGGAGAAAAGCTATAACACCAAAGGAACGGTTAGGAACGTTTTTATATGAAGTGTCCATATATTTTGGATTTGATAGGTCGTATAGCACTTCGTACTGTAGAACACATTCGATGAGATGTTCGTCATCCATTTCGCCTACAATTGTCATCCGTCAAAACAAAAAATATCGTTGGCGAGAATTCAAAAGTTCTCGGATCTGTGACTGAACGGATATTGACGGATCGGATTCGGATAGAAAACTGATGAGTGTGGATGACGCGATCTAAATTTAGCGAAACGTTATTTTCTATGACTGAGACTGACCCGAATTCTCGGAACTGAACGGTCTCGTGACTGATATGTGTGAATCGACCTTAAAGGTGCGTATACATGTGCGAGCCGAATCTACCGCGAACCGCTCATGATGGGTTCGTGTGATGATCGTTAATGCCACGTACACACTTGTGATCTTCTCGCCGCGAACCAATACCGACAACGAACCAACTTGTACCGGGTTCACGAGAGGTTCATCAAAAAAACCGACTCTCGATGGATCGGCGCGAACGGTTCGTTGAACGTTCGTCACACCGTCTCAATTATTGTCGCTATCGGTTCGCGATGGGTTTAGCTCGCACATACATACGCGCCTTTAGAGAGTTTTTTATTGTGAAATATATTAATACACAATTGATCGATCCAGACGGCGGCGACGGGCATACATACAATAAATAATATTACATGTACCTACGATTAGTTCGATCAGTTTTCATCGAATATCGATAATAGAGTGGTAAATACATACTTATAAAATAATTTATAAATTTATCGTGGCACACCAGTTGGGAACCATTGGAGTAAATAGTGAAAGACTACTGTCAGTCTAGGTTAATTATCTATTATATTATCTATTAACCTTGACTCTCAGTGTCAAATTCTGCCTTACAATTCTTTCGTCTTCTATTATTATTATTTTTATAACAATGGCATTAAAAGCTAAAAGTGTTCTTTGGAATTTTTATGAAAAATTCAGTAATGGTGGCCTATGCAAATTATGAAAATGTTCAGTCAAAACCAGTGGTAATACAACTTGAAACGAAAACATCCTACTGTTAATTTTGATAACATGTCAACGATTCTTCAAAATTCACTGTCTTCAACATCTGATGATTAAAATGCAAATGTTGATAGTTCTGCTATTGTATTACCAGAGACAGTAGAGCCATTTTGCTGTTATGGCGAATCAAATTGTTGTTTCTGTAAGTTGAATTAATGCACTTTTACTGATAAGTACAATTTAAAACTAAAATTGTAACTATAATTTTTTAACTTTAGGTTAACAAAATGCAAACAACATTGAAAAATATTTTTCGTCTTCAGTCATCCATCAGCACCAGTTCTACTTCAAAATCGGCTTATGTTGATTCGGCTTTAAATACCTATGTCAACACCTTCATCTTCAATGTGTGGCTCTGTTCAGAGTCTGAACATCCTTAACCTAAAGCAACTGACAATTATGAATCACATTTTCGGATATGAAATCATATAATAGTTCATGGTCACTAGTTAACTTAATAAATGTTTAGGACTTAGAATATTTAACAATATATATAGCTTAACTTTGAGTTATTATTTGAACATCCTATCACATTTCCTTAACCTTAGAACTGATGGCACGCAACAAATGAAAGGGGAAAAATTGAAGCATCTTTTATTCCTTAGTTGCTTCAATTTTTCCCCTTTCATTTGTTGCGTGCCATCAGTTCTAAGGTTAAGGAAATGTGATAGGATGTTCAAATAATAACTCAAAGTTAAACTATATATTATTGTTAAATATTCTAAAAAAATATAAATATTTTAAAAATTCAATAATATATTCCTTAGTTAGCTGAATTTTTAAAATATTTAAAAATAATAATATCTAATAGTAAAATAATAGTTTTAATAGTAAAGTAATAGTAAAAAATACATACAAAGGAAAATTAAACTATTAAAACTATTATTTTACTATTAGATATTATTATTATTTTATTACCTATTTATATTTAGACTGATTTGTTATGTTATATGTAATTTACTTTTATAACTAGAATATTTTTATGTATCATCTCATACTAATTGTATTGTTATAGTGAGTAGCAGTATTGTACTAGTTAGTAGCAGTGACATACCATTTTTTATGTTTGTAGCAATAAGTTTTGTAGACGTGAAATGTTCCTTTTATAAATATAAAGATATTTTGGCTGATAACAAGCGGTTATTTAAATCTCCCAACTTAAGAAAATATCTTATAGTCCAATGTAATGCTCAAGGTAATAAATACTATATTAAGAAAAAATGTTTTCAATTTAATTTATTTTTAAAACAATTTTAAATTTGTAGTTTTAAACAAAAACTTAATATAAGATGAAAACAAATTTCAAAAAAAGAAAATAAGTATCTCAGATCATCATATCTATCATATCTAAAAATATTATTATTTATTACTAATTAAATTTTTTAATCAAATAATTATTATAAATTTAATTATTTTTTAAATGTATATTTTAATAGCATATTTATTGATTTTTTAGGATATAAATAAATACATTTTTTAAGGGCATGAAGTCCCTAGCCCTAGTGATGATAATTTTTTTTTTTTATTTGTATGGCAAGTGATAATAATGATATGAAGGCACACAAACATACCGCTTTGCGTCCGTGTGATTTCATTAAATAATAATATTCTGTGGTTGAAGTAAAAACTTAAAAGTTCACAAAGATGCTATAAACTAGCAGTGCACAATCTATCTTGATGAATGACCCTCAAATTAATTTATTTCGAAAAGGCCGCCTTCTTACCAACATTATCTAATTATATATTATATAGGTACTAATTTATTTAAAATAAAAAAATTTGTTCTCATAATATGAAAACGCTTGTTTGCTACAACAATGACATAACACGAAAAACATGATTTTACACAAAAGGCATTTGAAAATTTTATTTGCAATATGATGGCAACGCAATAACGTCATAACTGCCATCTAGCGGCTAATTTTTGTGTTGTCACTTATCTCGTTCTTGCAGTATAAAGAAAAGCACCAAAATTATTATTATATGCAAACACCTCAAAAATGACGATTTTTGTGTTATGTCGTTGTTGTAGCAAACAAGCGATATAAATCAAGTTATTTATTTTAAGCAATTTCAATATTTCTTTTATTTAATTAATTTAAAATCTAAATATTAAATTATATAAAATAATATACATAATATATAACTTCTTCATTTGATGTTAAATTATAGGCAATCCCTTAATAAAATTTGGCAACCCACATAAGGGTCGCGACCCCCTGGTTGAGCATCACTTTATGGCATTAAACATTAACATTACCATAAATTTTAAACTCAATGAATTCTTTTTATCACTTTTACTATCCATTTTTTTTCTATGTATTTAAAGATTTAAATCAGTTATTAAGTAAAAAAAAAATATAAATTGTTTTTAACCTTATTATTGATATAATATTGAAAATATTTCATTACAAAACTATATAACTTAATTAATTTAATAAAATATGACCTAACCACTGAGGAACAGGACATTTTAGGACATATATTTATCCAAGGTAGTTAAAACACTACCTTGTATTTATCATACTTGATGGTTCTATCAATGGACAGTGAACAGGTTCTTTAATTTTTTTTTCTATGGGTTCTTTCCTCTTATTACACTCAAGCTATGTAAATATATCATATGTGTTTATGGATTGTAATTTTTGATATTTTAACAAATAAATGTATGATGATAAAAATACATAAATTTCATTAATAATCTAAAATAATAGGATTTCCGGTTATCACTATCCACAAAATTATTAATAATTATAAATTAATTCAGAAACTTAGTAACCGCAGTGATGTGAAAAATTGTGATCATAGTTATGTTTTTTGAACTGAATGCAGCTAACTAAAAAACAGATAACAAAAGAAAATGGTAATTATTTATTAATATTGTTAATAGTTTATAGTTATTATTGATGAAGTTATATTATTTGTATCCTATGATGAAAGGTGGTTAAGGCATCAAATATTAAAAAAATTTGTTAACATTGTATTTTTGATTTGTTATCATGGTATTGCTTATCATTTCTTGCCAACATAATGTTCTTCGGATGTAATACTTCAGTCCTAGTTGATTAGTTCAGTTGTTTAATTCTTATTGTGCACAATTCGGGCAACAATTGTGACAAGGTGGACACCTTGATGTTTGAATTAAAATTACAATTATCAGATTACCAGAGATAATAGTGATTATAGTAAATTGTATTTAGACGTTTTAAAAATACGGAATACGTGTTGAAAACCATTTTAAACGCCATTATATATCACTCTATACTAATTATAATTGTTCATTTTGTGATACTTGCTGTGATGACCATTAGTGAAGATTTTTTAAAATCAAAATTAACAGACACTCTTGATGCTTCATACGTGGTAAGTTGGATATATATTTTGTGTTATAATAGCTATTTAGCCAATACTTAAAATGTTCCATTATTTGACGTATTTAACCCTACGATAATTTTTACTTAAATTGATTTTTTTTTAGTCGCCTAATTAATAACTATACTTTTAAATGTACTTAAAAATTATTAATACTTCAGTGTACATTTTGTTTATTGAAACTTATGCTTTGGTTTGTATTTTGTGTTTCATAATTATTTTATAAATATGTTTAAAATTAACATTTCATTAAAATATCATTAAAATCATTTACATCATTAAAATCAACATTCCAAGAAATTATAAAGAAATTATATTGTAGCAATGTTTTAGGGTATTATTTCCTTTTTATTTTATAAGCGTACAGTTAATCGATACAATTATGACCCTCTAATCTCCTTATGAAGTGTAATCTAGAATTTTTTATTTAATTTTAATGGACCATGTTTTGTGAATCGTGAATTATAAATGTTTAGATTTTCAATTTTTTCGCGTTAAGTATTTATAATAAAATTGACCATTCCCGAATTTCCTGAAGTGTTTTTATTCCACTTCGTCCGAATGCCGTATTACGATTATTGATTACGTAAGCGGCTGGTATCCCACAGAATTATGGTAACTTAAGTTTATATTCATAGATGTTCGTAATTTAATTATTTAATTTTTCATTACTAGAAATAATGTATTGGAATGGCATTTTGATGACCAATCGATCATAATAATGTTAAATGAATTTGGTTACCATATGTTTCGATAAATAAAATACTTACCATTTTGTTAGCATTACTGTGGTTTTGGTATACTGTCCAAAGATATCAAAATATGGTATTAATATAATCTCATATTATGTTTTATCAATTTTTATATTGTCAAATGAGAAGTTCTGGATATGGCTATACGGCATAGTGTTAAACTGTTAGTATTTTTAACATAAACAGTTACTTTTGTTTGATATGAGATACAAAACTAAATTATGATTTACAATTTATGATTTGTGATTCAAGTTATTTACACTATTAATGTCTCATAAGCAATTATTATTGGTTTTTTGTTTTCGCTTTATAAAAAAGTAGTGTTTTTTTTGTAAATTTATATAAGTATTTGTATAAATTGTGAAGACCAACATTATGCAATCTGAAACACCAAAAAAAATATTTTCCAGTCTTCTGGTAATAATCTTAGATGTTAATCCTGCTCAAGATACTTTGTTAAGTGGAGAAATAAAATTGTCGTCCATTCTTAGTTCAGTTGTTGCTTTTGCCAATTCTCATCTTATGCTCCGAACACATAATAAAGTTGCAGTGCTTGCATCTGATCCAAATAGTTGTGATTTTATATATTCCGATCAAGATGAACTTGATTTTAAAAAAAAAACTGTTAGTAGTTGTAAAATGGGTGGAAGTCAATATGAACTATTTAGCCATATAGATCGTTCTATCAAATTTAACATAGTAAAATTTCTCAGAGATGCAGCTGAAGAACCACATATGTCAAGAGATACAGTTTTTGGTGCATCTTGTGCTAAAGCATTATGTTATATAAATAGATTGCAAAGTAATCTTTTACCAGGTGAAACAATGAATTCAAGAATATTGATTATATCTGGTTGTGATAATGAAGGAGATAAATACATACGTTGTATGAATACATTTTTTACTGCTCAAAAACAAAATGTTGCTATTGATGCTTGTAGTCTTACTCATGATGTAACACTATTGAAACAAGCATGCTATATCACAGAAGGTTCATATTTTCGTATGCCTAAATTGGAAGGACTTTTATTGTATTTACAATGGATATTTTTAACAGAACCTTCTTCTAGAAAAAAATTAGTTATACCATTAGCTCCGCAGTTGGATTTTCGACCATTTTGTTTTTGTCATGGGACTCTAACAGCGATTGGTTTTGTATGTTCACTATGTTTAACTATTTATTGCAAAATAAGTCCTATTTGCACTACTTGCGAAGCAGTATTTAAGGTTCGATCAGCCATCGCAGTTAAGCCTAAAAAAAAGAAAACTAAAGTGACAACTGTTAATAACTAATTTTTTATTAGTTATTTTATGATTATGTTATTGCTTATTCAAATTGATGTTACTTCAAATATCAGTGTAAAAGATATGTGTAATCATGGAGTTTACTGTTGTAATGTAGATAGTTTACTTAAATTTGTATTTTATTGATTTGGATAATTATTTATAGTATTTTTAACTGTAATATTTTATATAAAATAAAAAAAATAAAAAATGTATAAATTTTGTAAGAAAGATTACTGCTCTCTTTTACTTTTGTATTTTCATATTATTTTCTGTATCTCCTTTATATTTATGTGTTCTATTTCTAGTACATATATTATTAATTTCAAAATTTAAAGTAAATGATTAATCATATTCTAAGTAATTTTTATTTTAGAAATTTAAATGTTATACTTAAATTATTTATTTTTATAATAAGTACAACTATTTTAATTTACATTGTATTTAATCAAAAATGTATTAAAAAAATATAATCATATACAGTTAGCTACACAAAGATAATTATTTATTGTTTACCTATATTTTCTTACATTTTAATTTAATTTCCTTTAAATATATATTGAATACATTTTAATTTAAAAATAAAAAAATACTTGTATTATTTACAATTTCCATTTTTCTTTTTCCAGAACAATCATATCTCGTGAAAACTGGTGTCTCATTTTGATCTATGCATTTATATTATTATACAATGACTTACAAATACTTAATACCTTTATACTTGAATAAAGTACTCAATGAAAAACTTGTCTTTATGATTGCTGTATTATTTCGTTGGTTTGTCAGCTTACATGATTATTCTGGAAAATCAAAACCTCCGATGTTTGGTGATTATGAAGCCCAACGACATTGGATGGAAGTAACAATTTCTCTACCAACCACTCATTGGTATTTTAATTCATCCAACAATGATTTATTATATTGGGGTCTAGATTACCCACCTTTAACAGCCTATCATAGTTATATCAATGGTTTAATATTTAATAATGTTCTCCCAGAATCTGTGCAGCTTCATACATCTAGAGGATTTGAGTCTAAATTTCATCAACTACTCATGAGATATTCAGTACTTATTGTCGACTTATTGATATTTTTTCCAGCTGTTTTTTGGTTTTTTAGACAGTTTTTTAAAATTAAAAATAATAATCAAATTAGTCAAACAATGGCTATTGGAATCATGTTATTGTACCCAGGATTAATATTAATAGATCATGGACATTTCCAGTATAATTGTGTTTCTTTGGGTTTATTTGTAGCAAGTGTTGCTAATATATTTGCTAACAAAACTATATTAACTTGTATTTTGTTCAGCATGGCTTTAAATTATAAACAAATGGAATTATATCATGCATTGCCTTTTTTTTTTTATTATATTGGATCGGTTTATGAAACATATATAAAATATTCATTTTTTGCTGCTCTAAGAAAACTAATTATTCTTGTGCTTAGCGTATTACTAACATTTTTAATATTATGGGCTCCATACATTAGTGACTCAAAACAAATATTCCAAGTTGTACACAGGATTTTTCCTTTAGAGCGAGGTGTTTTTGAAGATAAAGTTTCCAATATATGGTGTCAAATTAATATAATTTATAAGTTGAGAAATATAAATAATCAAACCATGGCTACTATATGTCTATTAACAACATTAATTTCTGTGTTACCTTCATGCTTGGATCTGTTTAAAAATCCTTCTAAAATAAAGTTTTTACTTTCATTAATTAACTGTTCATTGTCATTTTTTCTATTTTCTTTCCAAGTTCATGAAAAAAGTATACTTTTGGTGGCTATACCAGTTTTAATGTATTCTCCTCAAAGTCCATTTATATGTACTTGGTTTGTGTTTATTACAACATTTAGCATGCTTCCATTATTGATAAAAGATAATTTATTAATACCATTCATTTCAATGTCATTAATTTATTTTATAGTATACAGTAATATAGAAAAGGTATTTTCAAAACAAAAAGAAACATTCAAATTAAATTTATTACGTAATCTATCATTGTTTGGATGTGTTATACTAACTATATGTTCTATAGTATTGAAACCTCCCCAAAAATATCCATATTTATGGCCTCTTATCATATCTTCTTATAGTTGTGTACATTTTATTGCATTTTTGATTTATTTTAATTTTGAACAGTTAATGTTACAAATTCCCAAAAAAAAATTGTATTAAATAATAATATTTTTTATTTTATTTTTTTAATGTCCCTGGATATTATTTTAACAGTCCAAAAGTCTAATAAATATGTATTACATTTCTATACAATTGAAAAATATTTTTTAATTAAGAGAAGTAAATATATGATACTTTAAATATGTAATATTTTATTGTTTAGTATTTAAAAATAATAATTATATGTCAATTATTTCTAAATAGTTAATAGTAGTAATTAAATTAATTTTGTAGTCTAGCATACTTGTATATAATTTTTTTTGTTATTATGGTTGTTAAAAAATATTTTAATTACTGTTTTATTACATAAAACTATGGTTTTTAAGTACTTAGTTATATGTATATATTTAAAGAAATGACAAATTTGTTAATATAGTATTTATTTTTAGTTGATTTCAATGATTATATGAATAATATTGTATATTAATTATTATATTTTGATTGTATCATATTTATATTATTAAAAATAAAGTTTAAATTTTATAATTATAAGTGTTTATTTGTTATTTGACACCATATAATTAAAAAAATATATATATTTCATATCAAAAATATGCAAAGGAAATTAACATTACCTTTTTACAATAGATATGTGTATAAATTACGGCAATTTTTTATTTTTCATAAGTTCATCATTTATTCATATATTTTACTATACATGTTAAACAATATAATTTACTTTATGCAAAAAAAAAAAAAAACTAAGTGCACTATAAATATGTATAATATCATTGCTATAAATATAGATCAATATTGAAAACCATTAAAATATATTATCATTTATTTAATTTAAATACTATATTTATATAAAAACTATTATATTTTAATGTGATTGAAGAAATATAAATATAATTCACAAATGTATAGCTCAAATTAATCTCATTTTGTCAAGTTTTTAATTAAATAATCATGAAAATTGTTTAAAAAAAATGTCCTTACTTTCTTAATTATATTTTCTACTTTTATCGAGAATAATGTGTTTTGTAATTTTATTTTAAATATTAATTTATTTTGTACCTTTTTTCAGTCTGTTAATGATGATTCTGATGGTTGTGGTGCCAAATTTAGTGTAATTGTTGTGTCTGATAAATTTATTGGTAAAACATTATTACAACGTCATCGGTAAGTAGATTCTTTCAAACTATAATTACCTAGTTAGAATCTAAGAAACTTTGTATATGTTTATATAATTACCAACAATTATTATAACCAATATATTATAATTCAGTGTAATTTTCAGCTACAGAATTAATAAATTATTTTTTAGTTCCTTAAATTATCGTGGCATTACGCCATAGTTTAATATTAGATTACATTTTTGAATAAAATACTTAAATGAATTTTATTAATGTAAATTGACTAAAAGCAATTAACACACTGCATAATCTAATGACCTATATTCATTATTTTCTAAAATGAACATTAACTATTAACCAGTCAATTTTTTATAGCTGTTATGAAGCTATAATAATTAAAGATAAGTATTAAGTATTTATTGTATCCATATATATAATATTAAATTAAAATTAATACTGTTTGATTATAGTTAGTATTCAATTATTTACATTTGTTTTATACTAAAAAATAAAATATCTATTTGATTATATTGAAATTTTATATTAGTTATTTTTTACTTAAAGTATATTTATATCTATTTCATAGAAAAAACATTACATAATCATTTTTAAAACTCTCAAAATCTTAACTGATTTTAAATATTTTGTTTTATGCATATTTTTAAATTTGTTTCAATCATAAAGATAAAATATTATAAATTAAAAGAACTATTTTCTATGGTGTTTGAAACACAGATAACAAATATTATACCAACATCCTTTAATATTTTAAATATTCACTGATTTATAATCACTAGTTGGTCATTATTTTTAATGAGTGAGATATGTTAGAAATTTAGTTGTTGACTACAAATATAAATTTTATTCAATGTTTAATAATTTACATTCAGTCAAGAATTGTTTAATAATTATATTTTTAGTTTGTATGATTAATAAAATTATAATACATTCATTTTTTAAAAGTTAAAAAAGTTAGACTTGAGTATATTTATTAATGAACTATAATTAATTTAGTGGTACTAATACATATTACTGTTTTAGAGCTAATTTGTTTAACATAATATTTGTCTCTTTATGACACTTGAAACTTTACGATATTGAATTAATTACATAATTATAAAAATATGTTATATATTAGTTTAGATTAGTTTGTGACTAGTTTTTATTATTATTATCTTATTATAAAAGAGTAATCTTAATTCAATGTCCATAGATATTTTAAATATATTTAATGCTATATATATATGTATGTATGTATAAAATATTTTAAATATTTTATGATATTTTGTATATTTCAACATTATATGTTAATATGTTATAATCATATATCACGTTTAGTATATATAAATAGTAATATTTCAATCGCCAATATAATTTATTAATTGATTTCTAATATTTGTGTTCTTATTTAGAATGGTTAATGAAGTACTAGCTGAAGAATTAAAAGAAATACACGCATTCTCACAGAAAACATTAACAACAGAACAATGGGACAATTTAAATAAAAATTAATTGCCTCTAATTGATTGATTTAAGCTTGGCAACATATACTTTCTAAACAACATTTTAACATTTTATTCTATCATATAAAGTAAAAAATGAATTCTAACATACAGTTTGAAGTAACAGCACCTGGAAAAATAATTCTTTTTGGTGAACATAGTGTTGTGTACGGGAAACCGGCAATCGCGTGTGCTATTGATCAACATACCACATTAATATTTACAGAAAGTTATTGTAATAATCAAGATTTGAACACTGTACCATGTCGCATAATCTTACCACTTATAAATTATTCTGGAATGCTGACTATTCATTTAGATACTAAACCGGCATTTTCACCTACCAAATACTTCCAAGAAACCTTGAACAAACTTAACAAAAATGAACCATTTTTGAATGAATTAGATACCTTATCTGGAAATGAGAAAAAAACTCTTACAGTTTTACATTTTATTTTTGGAGGAATTCTAACATGTTACATGAAACAATTGAAAAATGTTTCATTTACAATTGAAGTAAAATCTGCATTGAAGTTGGGTGCTGGTACTGGTAGCTCTGCATCTTTCTGTGTTTCTCTAGTTGCTGCATGTTTGTCTTACGTTAAGTTCAAAATTAAATCCATTGTAGAAATTCAATTTGATCCATTGTTGGATGATTTTCATTCACAAAGCGGTGACAACTTGTTAATTATTGAACCATTCACAGACAGTCTAACATTCAGTGATGGGGTAATATATTTTTGTCAATATTAATATTATTATAATATGTGTTTAGTATTAAACAAGTCTACTACATATAATATATCTAATATTTATTAAAAGTAAATTTTTTATTTTGTTAAAAAAAAGATTTTTATTTGCAATTTTCTATTAATCAAAATTATTTTTTTATGAGTTTTAATAAATTATTTTACACTGTATTTTATACAAATATTTTTTTCAGGAAAAATGTTTAATAAATAGATGGGCTTTGTTAGCAGAAAATTTTATTCATACAAAGGCTTCAGGATTAGATAACACTATTTGTACATATGGCACGATGGTTCAATATACAAAACTTAATAGCCATAAATTACTGGAGGCTCCAGAACTAAAAATTCTTTTAATCTATTCAGGTTTGCTCTAAACTATTAATTAATCTTTTTTAATTATGACAAAAGTTCTTAATACTTAGAATATACATACTTATTGATTTAATTTTTTAATGTTTTTTACTCAATGTTGTATAATAACCGTATTTTAGAACTATATTTATTGTATTTTAAGGTGTTGAAAGATCTACTGGAAATGTGGTCAAAAGTGTTAGAACTAAGTATAATGACGAAACCTATCATTTAATTTTTGATGGCATTTTCAATTCTATAGGATTAATTGTAAATTCAGCTGTAAATGCAATTGATCAAATGGCTCAAAATCCTCAGCAAGAACTTCAACAAATAAGTGTTTTACAAGTTAGTATCCATTACATAATATATTTTATATTAATTGTTGTATTTAAAATAAACTTTTTTTTTTATTAGACTCTAATGGATATGAATCAAGGATTATTAATGGCATTAGGTGTATCTCATGAAACATTAGATGCTATTGTGGCCATATTAAAAAAATTTGACTTACATGCCAAGTTAACTGGTGCTGGAATGGGTGGATATGCAATATGTCTTGTTCCTCCAAATATTCATAAATCTAAAATAGAAACATGCATGCAAGAATTGAAAATTTATGGTTTTGAATCTAATATTTGTACAATCGGTTGTCCTGGTGTCAGAATACAAACTAAATGAATCAAGGATAGTTTATTATAACTTTAATTACAATTATTATTTGTTTTCAATAAGAATATTAAAAATAAATTAAGTTTAAAATAGGTAATAATATGTTGTAAGACTATTTATGTAGGGCAAAATATCTTCTATATTTATATTGTTTTTAAACAGTATATTGTTTTATATTAATATTTTTTATTCATGTTATTACTTTTAATATTAAGAAAATAATAGTGGTAGTTACTAGTTGGTAAATTATGAAAAATAAATAATCAATAGATTTTATAGCGCATAATTTATGATTTTTTAGTCTTTAAAAACGTATAATAAAAAAATAAAAATTACAATATTTGTCATTTGATTGTACAGTATATTTTATTATAAATACAGTACGTACCTAATTTGTGTCCACTGTTGTAAATATACATTTTCCATAAACAATGAAATGTCTTTTATACGACTGAATGCATGAATGACATTATTAAATAATTATGATTGATTATCAGGGTCAACATTACTTGTGCAAAACAATGTAAATAATAAAATTAATAATAAGTAATAATGTCTATACTGTAAATTGATCATCTAAATTAATTATTTTACAGAAATAATTTTATATTAAAATGTTAAATTAAATGATTCAAACAAATTGAATATTTTCATTAAATAAAAGATTAATTAAACCTAAAAATGTTCAACTCATATGATATTTTCATTACCATATGCCAATCACCAGATGATAGGATTAAGAATGGAACCCAAAAGGGTGATAATTTATCAATTTTTTTAATAAATGATGACAATCCGACACTTGAAGTACTACCTCACAGTATTCCCAACTCGAGTGGTAGGTGTATTACTGAATTTGAAAAAAGAAAAAGGATTGAACACGGACTAATGTTAGAAAAATCTCATGGGAAACAATAATAACTATTAAATTTGGTCAGAAAACATATTTTAAATTTTTTTCTTAAATTTCGGAGAAGGGGAGATTTTAATCCTCTTTGCATTAACGTCTGGGATTGAGGCATAATTATTAGAAAAACTGCAAAATAATTTATTATTATTATTATATCCACCTATAATAATTTGTGACATCAATGTTTCATCAAAACTATTTCTAATTTCAACGCCTTTCGCGCGTTTTCTGATTTTATATATCGAGGGGAGTTATCGTTAATTTTCGAGGGAGTATGTGATATGCGGTGTGTCATATTAGTCAATAATTAATAAATAAATAAATAAATAATTTTATCGTGGGGGGGGAGGTATAAATTTTTTTTCCAGGATAATACCCCCCATTCCCGGTCCCCACCCTTAAACGAACACTGCACATAAGCAATAATACTTACTCGTATTGGTTCACACGTACGTGAAGTCCAACAAATCTAATGAAAACTGTATTTGATCACAACGGAAATAATTTTTTGAATAACAATAGGCATGAGTATTATTAAAGTTCATGAGTTCGATATTGTAATGTATCGATGTTGATTATCAGTTGATGTCCACTTAATCGGGACAATTGCACCCACGGCTTACATGAACTCACGACAGGTTCGAACATTCAAATTTGATAATTTTTCCCGCGTGAAATCAAATGTTTTGGAATGTCTTTGAACCGACCGATCGTCATATGTTTTTTTCTATGCCATCACCCAACACTATCGATATCCCACACGGCCAAACCAAATATTTATCGTGGGTTTATTATGTTACAACTTTTTATTTGATTTAATTACTCAGCTTTTTTTTCCTTTTTTTTTATATTTTTTTTTTTATAAAATTCAGCGACCAACTCGTAGCTGATTGTTATCGGTATATTAAGACTGTAATTCATTACCCAAGCAGCACCTATCATTGATATTATTATTTTTTTTCCATCTAGACAAGAACAGCATTTATTTACAAATTTAGCACTTCGTTGCAATATCAATCATCATGAGCGACTGGAATACAGTAACGATTTTGAGGAAGAGGCCGCCAAAGCCTTCCACTATGAAATCTGAACAGGTGCATTGATTAATTTTGTCAACTTTTTCTAATTAAGTTATGCCTAAATTGTGTAAAACCGCTATTTTAGGCCATCAATAAAGCTAGGCGCGAAGGTGCTGTTATTGACACTCAAACCAAATGTAAGTATTCATTTATGTGTGTATTGGTTAAAATATAGATTTTTATGAATATTATTTTAAATATTAAACCAATTGAGTCTTAAGTTATAATTTGTTATTTATTTATTTAAAATTCTAATGGTTGTAAGATCACATTTCCTGAACACATTCCTAATCAATCTTGTTTGGTTCTATAAGAATCCAATTAATTGTACTTAGTTTATCACCAGAGTTTCAATATTGTATTATATTGTACTTAATTTATCATAATTTAGGGGGTGCAGCTACAAATAAACATCAAGTGACCACAAAAAATACTGCAAAATTGGATCGGGAAACTGAGGAATTAAAGCATGATAAAGTACCTATTGATTTAGGTCGTCTTATACAACAAGGACGACAAGCTAAAGGTCTTAATCAAAAAGATTTGGCTACTGTAAGTTCAATTAATTTATGTATCTATGATTATAATTTACATGTATTCTTCTAATTTCAGAAAATTAATGAAAAACCACAAGTAATTCAGGATTATGAAGCTGGTCGTGGAATACCTAATCAATTGATTATTGGGAAAATTGAAAAAGTACTCTGTAAGTATTTGGTTTTCATTAACATCTTATTTGATTATCCATTCAAATAATCATACAAAATTATTTTAATTAATTTTACGGAAATATATTCTATAAAATAACTTAATTTTAAAGGAAGTTGATGTTTTAATACATGGCATTATATTTATATTTCCTGTTAAATAATTAATTTTATTTATTTATTGCTTTTATCTTGAAAACATTATGACTTTTCCTGTTTAATATGCATAAGATCTCTAAATCATTGTATAATAGCTTATAATCTGATTGTAATTTTTTTGTTGATAATAGTACTCTTGAAAAGTAATATGATTAATATTTTTTAAATTCATAAAAATGATATATCTTTTGGCTCTATATAATTTAAATTGTAATATGAAAGTTCATGGTACTTAGCAATTAATTAAAATAAGTATATTAACATTATATATTGAAGTTTAATGTCTAGTGGTGCACAAATAAATAATTAATATAAATAATTACTACGAATAATTTATTAAAAATTATTAAATGTTTTAAAATAACATCAACCAAAATATAGAATAAGATATTTAAAAAAAGTTATTCTTTGAAGTATTATCAATGTTGAAATAATGACTAATGATTTTATAAAACGAAATCAGTTGTAAATATTTACCTACTAATAATATTTAGACTAAGAATTTTGATTATTATACTTGATACTTATTTTTAAAGATTGTGTAAACAAATTTATTAGAATAGATTTTTCCCTTCTAACTCATGTTTTTAGATATCTGTTAATTTATATATAAAGTTATTTAATATTTTTGTATTTCAAATAAACATATTAAGAAAATTGTTTTTGATTTAGGTATAAAATTACGAGGAAAAGATCGCGGCCAAGCACTTCTGCCCCCTAGTTCCAAGAAGTGACGGGCTTGGGGGAGTATTGAAATAAGTCACTAATTTCAAATTTACGCTAAATACTTTTAATTTTGTTCTAAATAAAAGAAATTGTTGTGACAAAACATTTACCTTATATTTTACTTTTTATTTTACCTTATCATTAAGTTGAAAATTGGTTACAATAATGGTATATTTTTAACTAAATATTAATTATTATTTTTTGTATTAAACACTTAACATAATTTATCATATTGTTTTTGGTTTTTTTTTTATTTTGTTTTTTTTTTTTTATATTTTTGTGTTTAAATAGCACATTATTAGAATTAAAATGAGATATTAAAACTTAACTAGTATTACCATATTTTTAATTTATTATTTTATGTCACTGAAATTTTCATAATGAATGGTCAGGTAATATAACTATTTATATGTATTATATAATTTTACAATTGCACATTGAAATATAGTCATACATAACTGCTTTATGGATAAAATAATAGATAGTAATAGATATAGTAATAGATCTAGTTACATTTATTATAGAAGATATGTTTTTTTTAAATAATATTTGAATTGTTAAGGTTTGAAGAATCATTCTATATTGAACTTTCTTGAAATAGTTTTTCAAGTGATTACAGAAATATTTTAGTTAAGTATTCTGATTAATCTATTTAATTTAACAAGGAAAGTCAATTAAAGAGAAGTTCTTTTATGATCTGGAATATGTTATCCCTACAGCTTAATAGTTAAATAAACATTAAATGCAATTTTATATCCATAGGTGTTTAATATTTTTAAACGAAACTAAAAATATTATATAAATATACTAAACAAGTCTTACAATCAATATAATATATGCACATGTTAAAAAAGAAAAGAAAAACAAATAAGTGATATTATTTATTTACTTTGAAATTATAATTATTAGGAAGATCATATGAATTTTACAAAATAGATTTACAAGCAATTCGAGTAACAACAGAATCGAGTAGACTTGAGGTTTCACTTTCTATTTGACTAATTTTGTAATACGTCTTGATTAAATCTTCATTGATATTTTCTAAAAGTTGTGAAAGATTAGTTTCACATCCTTTTATACATTTATCATGGAATATCTTCATTTCTGGAACATTTGGAAACTTTGATACAAGGGCAACAATCATTTCATTATCATTGTCATTAGGACCTATGTCTGTTAATGATTTTGATATTTTATTGGTCGATGACAAGTTGAATAAAACTTCAGTGACTAATGACCTAGTCTTCATTGAAGAGTTTTCACTAGCTAAGAAAGCGTTATTCACAGCCACTACAATCTGAAACGGATCAACAATCAAACAGCTACGAATTAATATAGGCGATTTATCTTTGAAAATCGAAGCCATGTTTTCTTTTAACCATTTAATATTTTTGACGTCGGTGAAATAAGATACGCCTAAATACTTTTCGTTTTCCAAATGGTAGATTTTCATTGTTAAAAAATGTTAAACACTATTGAGGCTTCGACAACCTTGCACAACATACACAAACGACTATTTATTAAGAAGTTACTATCTCGGTGTCCAAAGCGTGTTTACCTATTTTCACGTTCTATGCTGTGATTGGTTCAAATATTTATGTCTTATCATTATTTTATCATGGTTGATTTGATTACCGCCTTAATTTAAATTTAAAATCAATTATTATTCATAGAATTTATTTAGGTAATTTAATAATATATATATTATGGATGTTCATTTTCTTGACAAAAATACATAAAATATTATATACAATATCTTAAATCGGACGTGAAGTTTAAGATAAATTAATATTTATAAGACCTTCCCGTTACTCAAAACCTTAAACTGATCATGTGATTAAAAAATTGTATACTCAGAAGGGTAATACGTTATACGTGCTATAGAGACATAAAATCAAAATAAACAATAATTTTTAAATTATTTAAATTCAAAAATATTTTAGTAATTATTGAATTGTACAGATAGCAGGATCAATAATCATAAAAGGAACATGAAAATGATAGAGGGGCATTAACACTCCAAGCTTTTTAATTAAAATTGCGAATCCTGTACTTGGACTGTTCACAAATATTACGGCTCCGTGGTGATGGTAAACTGCAGAATTAAAAACTTACGTTGTATTTAAATCATATTATGATAACATTTAACTATAGCAAAAATAAAATTATTTCACTGCGTGACATTTTAAGAAAGCAGGGAAATTAGTTTTCAAAAGAATATTATTTCACATTCTAGCACTAGGAATGGTTAACTCGTATAAAAGCAACATAAATTTATAAAGTTTCGATCAATGATGAACATGAAAAACGATTTTCATCAGTCCTCAATAAAAAAGGAATAAGAAGAAAGTTTTTAATATCAGTTAATAAGTGTGTAATTGAATACATTTAAAATACTATTGTACGTATGTTGGTTGTTGGCCAAAATTAAAAACTTATTTATAGTATTGATTTACGTTTGTTATTTTAGGTACGTAGTTGTGCATTTTTATTTCCATAGAAACGAAATAGTGTTTT